AACAATTCAGTATAACAACTATTTCAATAGCATTTATATCATATTAGGTATTACATATAATCTAGAGATGATTTAAAGTATACATAAGGATGTACATAGGTTATATGCAAATACTTCACCATTTTATATGAGATTTGAGCATATGTGAATTTGGTGTCTGCAGAGGTCCTGGAACCAATGGCTGGCACATATCAAGGGACAACTGTACTGCTTGATTACTGTAGCTTTGTAGTAAGTTTTGAAATCAGAAAGTGTAAGTCCTACAGCTTTGTTCTTTTTAAAGATTGTTTTGGCTATTCAGGGTCCCTTGAGATTCCATATGCATTTCCTATTTCTGCAAAAAACATCATTGGGATTTTGACAGAGGTTGCATTGATCTTCAGATCACACTGGGTAGTATGGATATATTAACAGTATTAAGTCTTCCAACCTATGAACATGGGATGTGTTCTCATTTATTTATATCTTCTTTAATTTCTTTCAGCAATGTTTTATACTTTTCATTGTACAAAGCTTTCACTTTGGTTAAGTAAATTCCTAACTATTTTATTATTTTTGTAGCTATTATAAATGGAATAGTTTTTGTAACATCCTTTTCAGGTTGTTCATGGTTAGTGGATAGAAATGCAACTGATTCTTGTGTGCTGACTTTGTGTTTTGTTACTTTGCTGAAATCATTTATTAGTTCTTACTGTATAAGATCATATCACCTGCAGACAGATAACTTCACCTCTCCCTTTCCGCTTTGGATGCCTGTTATTTCTTTTTCTTGCCTAATGGCTTTGGCTAGAACTTCTAGTACTATGTTAAACAGAAATGGTGAAAGTGGCATCCTTGACTTGTTCCTGATCTTAGAGGAAAAACTTTCAGTCTCTGACCATTGATGTTAGTTGTGGGCTTTTCATATGTGGCTTTTATTATGTTGGTTTCCCTCTATTCCTAGTTTGTTGAGTGTTTTTATACAAACAATCCCATAGAAAAGTGATTTTCATCTTAGAAAAATGAGACAATAATCCAGAAACTTTAATTCAGTAGTAAAGGAATTAGAAACAGGAGGATATTAGTCCCCCCACAATGAAAAAAATCCTTGTTTAACTGCAATCAAATGCTATTGAATACAATATAAGGTAGCTCTGACTGCAATATATAAAAAATTGTAGCTGGCTCCTTGGCTTGCCCCTCTAAGTTCCTTAATTTTATCTTTCTAGACTTACCTTTTTATATACTTCCTTACACATCTTAAAATTTTACATAGATATACACACATACTATGAATGATATGGTCCTATTTCACTTTGAGTCTTATAAAATTTTATACTATCTAGCTAAAAGACATAGCCTAGAAAATCATAATGACCAAAAAGAAAAGGGCCTAATTACTTAATAGTTTAAGCTTTATGTCTTTCACACAAATATCCTAATAAGGTTACAATTCATTAGAAATAATTCATTTACTCTACTTACTAAGTGTTTGGTAAATAAAAACCGGTATTAATCTGGTTATATCCTGATAAACAGGAAATATTTTTAAAAAGATACTTCCTTACCTTGATCTATAAATGTTGCTTTGCCTCCCACGGATTTGTCACCCCTTTTTCCCTGGGTGACAGAGCTTCCAAAGATTACTCAAAGCCCATCTCTTCTGAGCAGTGAGAAGCCCCAAAAAGGGATTAATCTCCTGGAGCCCTCAAGAGAGAGGCATTCCTTCCATTTGGGAAATTAACTACAAATTGGGGTTCTATTCCTGCATTTATTCTCCAGACCAGGAAGTTACAGGAAGAGAACATATGTGGGGTTTTAACAAGTTTAACAACAGAAGCTTGGTAACATTCAGTGAAGCAAGTAAAGTGACATTCTATAATGCAATTTGCAAGAAGTTAAGTCGATCCACCAACAAAAGCTTGATTTCAGCAAACATTCACTTTCCTTACAGCAATTTCCCAGTATCTTTACATATCAGTCAGTAACCTGTCTGTCTTTGAGCCAGCAACCTTGCTGTGCTACAATTCTTTATCTTACGACAGAGACTAGTCTGGGGAAAAATTCCTGTCTTTTGCAAGGTCAACATTTTATATGTACTTTTTTTTTTTTTTTTTTTTTCATAAGGTGACCGGTAAGGGGATCTTAACCCTTGACTTGGTGTTGTCAGCACCACGCTCAGCCAGTGAGCAACCGGCCATCCCTACGTGGGATCCGAACCCGGGGCCTTGGTGTTATCAGCACCGCACTCTCCTGATGACTGTGTGTGCATATCTATGTGTGTGTGTGTGTGTGTGTGTCCATGTTGGCTTACAAAGACACACTTACCTGTGTGTGCATGGGGTGCATGTCCACAACCTTTGGGCATTCTGTGTGTACACGACCATGTGTACTCTGTGTTTCTGGTCTTGCATTTACAGACATGTCTTTTTTTTTTTCATAAGGTGACCGGTAAGGGGATCTTAACCCTTGACTTGGTGTTGTCAGCACCACGCTCAGCCAGTGAGCAACCGGCCATCCCTACGTGGGATCCGAACCCGGGGCCTTGGTGTTATCAGCACCGCACTCTCCTGAGTGAGCCACGGGCCGGCCCCTTTTATATGTACTTTTAAGAAATTAAGCTTAACCTGAAATTGCAAGGCTTTGGAAAACCAGGCCCTGTAAAATACATTTGCTTTATGTATACTCCACATACAAATATTTATGTTCTCTATTTACATGGTAGTAGGGGAAATGCTATAATCAGAGAATGATATTTGGTCTCTACTTCTATCTAACAATCTCAGGAAATTGGACAAAAAAATAAATAAAATTTGTAGTAATATAAGTAGCACGAAGTACTAGAAAAACTGGTATACACACTAAGCTCCCAGGAAGGCATACTCAGTGTGAGCTGAGGTGGTAAGAAAAAGTCAGACAAGATTAGATGTGGGCAATGGTCTCAATGGCAAGACAGGTGTCAAATAAGTCAAGTGGAGAATCAATCTTCTTGACTGCCTCCAAGAAACTTTCTGTGTAGCTAGTTCATTGATCTCTAAATCTCTGTCCAAGGACATACCCCACCCAAAGTCCTTCCCCGACCTTCAGCTCTAACTGGGGGAAGTGCTTCAAGTACATTAAATAAGCCATGATGACCTATAATTACCTCAATGGATGGTCCTGTACTTACTTGTATTTGTCTTCCCATTCGAAGGCTAGCTCCATGAGGGTAGGAACCAATTCATCTTGTCCACTGGGTGGGGCACACCCAGCCCCTAACCATCCAACCCAGAGAAGACAGGCAATAAACAGCTGCTGAGTGACTGAAAGCCAGCACTTACAGTAGAGGACAGAGGCAAAGCATTAGAAAGTAGGTAGAAGAGAGAACAAGAACACAGACCAGTCTTTCTAGGAGTTTAACAACAAAGATAAATCCAGAGTTCAAAGGAAAGGTAGAGCCAAGGAAAAAACGTAGATGCTTTACTTCAGACAGAAGGAAAAAATGAGTTGGTATTTGAGCTGGTCTCTGAAAAAGAGAATGACAATGTGGACACAGGGAAAAGAGAAAGAATAAGCATTTCAGAAGAGAGACCCCATTTAATAAAAGCCGAAGTATTGGAAGTGAGCACAGCAAGCGTCGGGACAGTAAGGCCCGGCCGGTACAAAGGAGACACTCCCAGCAGAGTGAGAGAGAAGGCCAGGTGAGGGACAGTGCAAGACTGCAGAGGGCCTTCAACATAAATTTGGTTTATGGCCCATATCCAATATATTCTGATATTTTTGTTGCCATTTCAGAGGGAAAAAATTTTTAAGCAGTAACAAGAAGGTTATTCAAAGGAATAGGTGACAAGATTCATTGTACTTTTGGTATAAAATTTGGTAGGACACTTCTGTCATGACAAACTTTATTCCTTCTCTTCTCATAGTACTACATGCAATGGAATGTGAAAACCTTCTAGTTGAAGATAATGGATCCTGACATCTGGCTTTTTCTAACATGTAAATAACAGGAGCTGTAGGATGACCACAGACATCACTCTTGATCATGCATGACATGCAGGTCTGGTGTAAACAATGTTGATTCTTCACGGCTCATTTGAAGGAAAAAGCAACAGAAGAAATAAATATTATAAAAGGAAAAACCAGTATGTCGTCATTTAACAGAAACTAGAGAGTAAAACATGTTTTATCCTCTGCCCACTTTCTAGCAAAAGAACACTTGAATAGGAAATTAACACAATAAAGACCATTACACACCAGCACTTGCCCAAATAGTAAGTTTAAGTTTTGCATCTTCAACCCCAAAAGGAAACACTAAAGTGATTTTCTGTGTTGAAGTATAAGATTTTGTTTTGAACTTTATATGTTCTTATGTCTCTTATTTTTTCCTGACAACCCATTATTGCCTCTTTTCAAAGAGATTAAAAGTATATTTCAAAGTTATCTACTTAAGTGTTTATAATACCCTGTAGCATTTAGACTTGCTTAAATATGCAAATTTGACTACCATTTTGCAAAAAAACCCAAAATGAATACAGAATGTAACATTTGCTAAATATTTCACATATGACGGACACCACCATTCTTTGCCTATTTTGTTCAATCACAACAGCTTTCTCAGAATGTATATTTTGCAAATGGTCAAGTCTGATGTAGTCTTCCTTTTTTCATTAGAGAGGACAGCGACCTTACTTCTAAATGGCCTGAAAGTTAAGCTGAAGAATAAAAGCAACATGGTTATTTTTAGAGCTCTACAAGCATAAAAATACAGCATTAAACTGTGACCTACAGCTATGCACAGCGAAGCATCACACCACGCGACAGTCTTCACTTTAGCTAGGAGCACATCCGTGTGCTTCAGACGACCATTCTTCATTTCATTACCAAAGACAGGTCGGAATGCATTTAGGACCAGCATCCATAGCTGCCGGCATCTTTTTCAAATAGACTGAGCTACATTCAAAAGGTAGACCATTACATAATTTGTGGAGATTAAATAGTAAGTTATTTTCGTCATTTCTTCCAGCTTACTTACAAGGTGAATTAATGAGCACTCTCCAAATGAACACATCACAACCTCATTCCTAACACAGAAAGTTATTTATTTCAAATACAGTTTCACTGACTAAATAAGGAGGCTCTTTCCTTCAACAGAGGACACATCCAGGAGAACAAGATACGCCCGAGTAAACCACAGCTTCATCATCACTCCAAGTAAACTCTTTAGCAACATCACCACATCAGATCTTTCAACTTAACAGGTAAGCTTTAAATCTCTTCTGTACAAAACTTAAAAGTGTGTCTGTAGATAGCACTTTCCCATACGTTACTATTTTAAGCCTCCTAAGAACTTTTAACAGCAAGTGTTAGTGTTATGTTCAGAACCTCCTTAGCCTGTAGATTATCTCTGACTTTGTATTTTTAATTTCTACTTAGCAACATAAAAGTATTTTCAAAGCTTAAGTTTTTGGCACTGACCTAGTTAGAAATTAAAATACTTTAATTCACACTCTAATCTTATTTTGACCTGTATATCTAACCAGTAAAAAAATTCATGTACTTTTCTGGAAAATTTATTGTAAAGAAACAAATATTTGCTGATCAAAACCATAACATTTTTGCAAATAAACAAGAGAGAATATTTCCACAGGCTAAAAATGCCACTTTTTGGTTGGATGAAATGGCCAAAAAATGATCCCTACAAACCCACACACTATCCTGGCTCAGATGTAGTGACAAAGACTCTGCTTCGGGAATTAAAATGGCACCTAATGGAACGAGAGAGATTAATACAAGAGATCGAAGATGAACAAAAAGTGAAAAAAACAGGTGTGGATTACAACTGGCTGAGAAACTACCAGAACCCCCACAGTTCCATCCCAGCTACTGAACAGAGACAACTTGAAGTACTTTGCTCACAAGTTCAACCTGGCCAAACCGGAACTATTCTCAGCAGGTAAAAGTACTATATTCTTCTCTTGTGATATTTGCTACTGCCAAGCCTAAATTCCTCACGTATTTACACTGGAAACTGTATTCTATCATGTAAATTATTTAATCACGTGTATCGAATACCCAGCTACCAAAATCCCTAGGGATAGTCTGGACAAAAATATCTATTGATATCTTACTGGTAGAAAAGTTGTTTAAAATACGTTTTAAGGTTTTTACTAGAAGCATAGTTTTAAGGCAGTGTGCAGATTACTCAAAAGATGGGTCACTAGTATATTAGTACATTACTTAAGCTGTATATTGGAGATAAAGAGATAGGACGAAAGAAATTTTTGAACTGAATATTCACTACCACATTCCCCCTAGATTTCGAGAAGTTTTGGCAGAAAATGATGTACTGCCATGGGAAATAGTCTACATCTTCAAGCAAGTTCTGAAAGACTTCCTAAGTAATTCTGACAACGGGAGTCAGCAGGAGGGCCTGGAGGATTCAGGAAACACAGACTGTCCTATTCCTGCTGCAATCCCGGGTGAAAGCTACAAGAGCTCAGGCAAAGATGAAATACCCACTATTTCAAGCTATGTCGACAAAATCACAAAGAACAGGTTCCCAACATTCTCCTACAGAGTATGGAACCTACCATATTATTATTATCCATCAAGTTAAGTTACTGATAACGAGAGTTTTTATGACCATCTTAGAATCAGAACTCTCAATATTAAGAATAAGAAAACATGATGAGACTCCAAGTTTCTCTTTGTTACAAGGTCAGAAGTTAAAATTTCTGTGGATATATCCTATGTTTTAAATAGTGTTCTTTTTTAACCACTCTAAACATGCAATGTTTTCATTGAACAGTATGCTTTTAACTATTTCCTAAATATTTTGAAAAAATGTTTGAAGTATTTTCTTGTACATCAAACATATCTCACAAGAACTAAGGCAATTTTATTTAGTATGAAGCATGACAAATCCTGTGTGAAACTTAGACATTAACCTCGACTTTTGTTCTAAAAGGAAACTATGTATAGAACAAAATAAACGATTAATGTGAATCTTATCTTTACAATAGAACACTGAAAAGAAATCGACATCCCATTATGTGATTGTCATTTCCAGCAGGAAAGGGGCAGTGAGGAAGGAAACCATGTGCAGTTTAAAAACAAAGCAGTACTTTATTCTGACACTCAGATTTGTCTTTAATCACAATATTTTTAATCTCAACATTAAAGGAAAGTATAACTAAAAAACACAGCTCTATATTAAATCAATAAAAATAAATGGACTAATTCAACATTAGTAACTGCTCCTTTCTCAAAGACAAATAGTCAATGCTGGAATATAATTTAAACCTATATCACTCATGTAAAATAGCAAAATATTTAACATACAAAATTTGACATTTCATAACTTTATTAAAAGTAGGAAACAATGAATTAGTCAGATTATTTTTCGACACAGTACTAGAATATTTACCATTCTTAAAGGTAAGTACAAGGAACCTAATGTATATAACTTTATATTTGGAGATATATTGGTTTTCTTTCATGTAAAAGGAAAAAAATTCAAGATTGGAACTAAATACATACTTAAAAATGGGCTGGCTCGTTAGCTCAGTTGGTTAGAGCTTAGTACTGGTAACGCCAGGGTTCAATCCCTGTACCGACCAGCCAAAATATATATTTAGACATACACACATATATACACATACATATATACATATATATTTTATATACATATATACACATATACATATATAAAGAGGAGTGCAGATGGGGGAGGACTACTAGGAATGCATCGGGTATGTTTTATCATGAGAAAATAGTATTAGCACAGTAGCTAAAATTTTCAGCTAGGAAATAGTAAGAAGTAAATAAATAAATCCATGTAAAAGTATTCTCCATAGTACCTGACATATAATAGGCTTTCAAAAGTTAGCATTACTAACCAGCCCAATCCATTTTTACTATACTTTCCTTTAATTAATTAAATATTTTACAGTAAGTAAAGTAATTCTTGTACATGCCAGGCACTGTGCTAAGCACTGTATGTATGTTCGTATTTCATCCTGACCTGCTAAAGTAGGGCACATTATTCCCACTTGACAGATGAGTAAACACCTGGGACATGTTCAACAGCTTGCCCAGTACAGAGATAACTGACAAAGGTAGGATTTACATCCAGTCTGTCATAACACTGCCCCACCTTACCCTCTGAGCTCCAAATGCATACAGCCAATTGCCTACTAGACAAATCCTCTTGAGTGCTCACAGGCAACTTAAAATCAACATGCTCAAAACCAAAGTCATAGAGCTTTGTTTTCTAAAAGGATAAAATTCAAGAAAGGAATCAGCTAGAACATACATAATCAGAACAGTGTCCAAAACACACTCTCTCTAAAAGCCTAACTCTTCAATGACATCATCAACTAGTATTTTCTTTCTCAGTAAACGACAGTACTACCTATCCATCCAATTCTACAAGCCAGAAATCTCACAATCACTCTGCTCCCCTTGGGATGGCGGAGGAGCCAAAAATAAAACATCATGTGCACAGATAAATGGCAGAGCCAGTTTTTGGTTATCATGAACATGATTTTGGGTGTGTTACAAGGGCTTGGAGGAGGAAAAAAAGTTGAAATAGACTAGACAGACTAGGAAAGAAGGTGGGGAGGACTTCTTTAGCTACAGAGGTCAGAGGAAACTTCTCTGAGGAGGAGACATTTGAACAGGGTCCCGAATGATGAAAGGAGCCCATCATGGGAAGAAATGGGAGAGAGAAGAGGAAAAAGGGAAGCGCTCCATACAGAAGAAAGAGCAAATGAGGAAGATGCAACGCGGGAATGAGTTTGGTATCTTCAAGACACAGGGGAAAATACCAGTGTGGCCAGAGTGCCGCAAGAGAGAGTAGCAGATTAGGCAGGTGCCAGATGGAGGAATGCTCAGTAAGCCACCACAGTCTAAATTTTATTCTAACAGCAATGTAGATCACACACAGAGTCACATATGTGCTCAAAGAGCCCTAGGTGTGAGTGTTTACTCAAGAACTTGTTCCTCCAACAAATATTAACTGAGCATCAACCTCATGTCATGCATTCTTCTAGGTAGGAGACTAGGTTGCCGGAGGGCAAGAATGAGAAGCCAGGACACCAAAAACAGAAGGCTTTTGCAATAATCCAGGCAAGAGATGACAGTAGTTTGCTCTATGGTGGTAACAGTATAAACCGTGAGAAGCACTCTTATTCTGGAAATATTTTACAGTAAAGTTGCCAGGATATTCACACACACCTATTAGGAAAATCAACTACAGCCAGAGGAGTAAAGCAAATTTTATGATTCAATCAAGCTAGCAATAGATGAGCGAGCAACTCTCATCCTGTCTACAATAAGAACCTGGCATATTGTAAGCAAGTACTCAATTACTGGGACCTGCTAAGGTGGTTCATTCATTCAAACAAATATCTGAGTTCCTACTATGTGTCAGGTTCTGCACTAAGTGGAGATTCAGTGATAATCTGTATCCTTGATAAATTCTTATGTGGGGAAAACAACACATAAGATAATTCCCACAAAAGTACTAAGAGACGCACATGCAGGGTACTATTTAAGTGGGCTCACCCACCTGCTTTTCCTCCAACCCTTGTAGCTGATCCTTCCCAGTCTCCTTTGCTCATTTCATCTTGTCGACCTAAAACATTCAAGCACCCAAAGCTTGGGCCCTTGGACCTCTTCTCTCTATATACCCACCCACTAGGGTCTAGCACCTGGAGTCTGATTTCACCTCATTGATCTCAAAGCCTTAAACTCTCAACTGTCCAGCTCCAGCCAGACTTCTTTCCTCTACTTCAGACTGCCTACATATTGATTGCTGTCTAACAGGTAGTTCAAAGTTAACATGTTCAAAATCAAATTCCTTGTATTTCCCCACAAACCAGTTCCTCCTGCAGTCTTGCTTTCCCCAGTTGAAGGCAACACCTTCCAGCTGCTCAACCAGAAACCTTAGTGACACCTGTGATTTTGTCCCCACTCATCCTGTACCTAGTCCAGCCACAAAGTCCTTGCCTCTATTAAGGATGTATTCCCAATTCCACCATTGCTTACCACCCACCTGCTACCATTCTGGCCTAAGCCACCATCCCATCTCTTGCCTGGGTGAGATATTAGTGTTCTCCAGAGAAAGAGAACAAACAGAATGTGGACAGAGATTTATTTTAAGGAATTAGTTCACACGACTGTAGAGGTGCAAGTCCAAAACCCACAGGGTGGGCCAGCAGCCTGGAGACCCAGGGAAGAGCCGCAGTCCAAATCCAAAGGCAGCCTCCTGGAGTTAGGTCTTCAACTGACTGGATGAGGCCCACCATATAATGTAGGGTTATCTGCTTTACTCAAAGTCCACCAACTTAAATGTTAGTCTCAACCTTCACAGAAACATCCAGAATACCATTTGACCAAGTATGTGGGCACTATGGCCTAGCCAAGTTGACACATAAAATTAACCATCACAGATGATATCAATAGGCTTTTCCCTAACATCCCTGTTTCTGCCCTTGGCCCCCATTCAACCCATTCAACAAAGCAGTGATCCTGTTTGAGCCAGAAGTCACATCATGCCACAGCTCTGCTCAAAACCCCAAAGCCATCTCCAGTGGCTCCTCTGATGAAGCAGCAAAGTCCTCGCTGTGATTTAAGAGACCACTCTTGATCTCCGTTACCCTCTTACCTCATCTATTATCCCTTCAGTCCCTCTACTCCAGCTGCACACAATAGATACCAAATAGATATTCCAATACTTTCTTAATCAATGAGAAAATTACCTAATAAATCCGTTAAACAGACAAAAATCTTTTAAAAGACACAGACTTCGCAGGTGAATAGAAAATAGGAAATCTTGGAGGGTAAGAGAAGCATACACTACCGTCTAAGTGAAGCCTAAATACCAAGAGGCAACTAGAAAAAGGTAACATGCTTTGGAATCAAACACGTCCATTCCACAATATAATATATACGTGAACTGGGACAAGGTAACCTTCTCAACTTCTCTGGTCCTTGCCTTCCTCAAATATAAAAAGAAACTTCCCTGTGTCAGGACTGAGACTGCTTGTAGTACCTGTGTCTCCTAACAGTGCCCAACCCAGTAGGCACTCAGCTTACAGCAACACATACCAGTAGGTAAAACTGAAATTTAAAAAGTGGGAACTGGGTGAAAGGAATCGCCAGGTCACAGAAATCTGAAAGCTTTCTATGGTGCAGCCTCCTCTGGGACAAAGCACATTTTAAGGTGGTGAAGAGTCAAAGACACAAAAGTGACAATGAAGCAAGAACATCAGAGCCAGGGGTTATTGTAAGCTGTGGAGACAGGAAAGCCTCCGCAGAGAACACAGAGAAACACTGGCAGAAGGACAATGGGAGGGAAGCAAGGATCCCAGGCACCACCTGAGGATCACAGACTGCAGCCCGAAGGAAAGCTGGCACTGACAACCCTGCAGGAGAACGCTCAAAGTGGCATAACACAGCCACCAAGTTTTTCTTTTTCATATGCCAACACGAAAAACAGGAATGTAAGGAAAAAAGAGAGCAAAATCCACAATTAGCACAAGAGTAAAATACAATACCATGTGGAAAAGGAGAAAGGGGAAACCCATAAAGGCATTAGAAAAATAGTTTACAAGCCATTCACCTGGTCACACACACCACACCAACCCTCCCAACCTGCAGTGCGCTAACTCCTCACCACAGCAACCCAAGCGATGCCTTTCTCAGTGAGAAACTCACACTGTGACTCCATGCTCACCGCATACTCTCACGACCACCTCACAGAACAATTCTTATCTGAACTACCTATGATACAGTCTGGTATCTTCTATTTCTCTTTTCTTAATGCTGGTGGTCACTACTCATTAAACCAATGTAACAGCACTCTCACAGACTGGACTCTAGTGACTCAACAAAAGCGAATCTGACCATAGAGTCACTATCCCTAACAAATATATTTGACTGCGATACCCTGCACTTATAAAAGCCTTCCTTCTCCTATGTCAAATGTTTTGTCAT